AAGCAATAAATGATCCAAAGACTATTAGTGCCACAGCCAGACATCCTAACTGCTTGTTATTATAAAGGTTTTGAGGCTGTTTAGCCCAACCTTTACAAATGGTTATGAACAATATTATGTTGCAAGGGAAAATGCCTGACTCCTGAAAACACTCTAATATTACGTTGATAGCAAAGCGAGATGAAGATCCAGCCCAGGTTAAGAACTATAGACCTATTTCCTTTCTCAATTGTGATTATAAATTGTTTGCAATAATATTAGCTAGAAGACTTAAATTAGTCTTAAAGGACTGGATTCATGAAGATCAAGCTGGATTTCTCTCGACAAGACAAATAAAAGACAATGTTAGAATTGTATTAAATGCTATAGAATATTTTGAAAAGAGAAGAGATAAGCAATTAGCAATGATTTTCTAGATGCAGAGAAGGTGTTTGATAAAGTTTCGCAGAGTTTTATGGGGAAAATATTGGATATTATGGGCTGGGGGGAGAAAATTGTGAGAGGAATAAAAGCAACAATATATACAGAACAATTTTCAAGTATAATAGTAAATGGAGTGCTAACAGAAAAGTGCACTATAACAAAGGGCACTAGACAAAGCTGCCCACTAACACTTCGAAAATATTGTGTTTGAAGGAAGAGAAGAACTGATCTCAAAAATGTATAAACTATTATTAGAATGGGAGACGAAAGATGAAATGGTGAAATTGGTAATGATAAAATGGGCTAAAGATTTAGGACATAATATAGAAATGAATGGGGAAAGTTGTGGAAAGTAGACATGAAATTTACCGCTTGCTATGCTTTAAAAGAGAATTATATCAAAATGATAGATGGTATTTAACACCTGATAAATTATCTAAAATGTATAAGAAGGTTTTGAATAACTGCTGGAAGTATAAACAAGCAGACGGTCCTTTTTTCATATGTGGTGGACGTAAAAAAGCTAGGGTATTTGGGGAAATATATGATGAGATAAAAAAGATTGTTTAAAGTGAGTATACCACAAACACCTGAATCTTTTCTGCTAGGGATTATAGGGACAGAAATTCAAAAAAGGATGGTTACGTTGTTTATGTACAGCAGGTAGGATACTGTATGCCAGGCATGTCCAAAATCTGTTTCAGGGGTCTAATCCGGCCAGTTTATCTCCTGGGGTAAAATCCTAAAAACACCTCAACAACTTCAATCCTAAAAAAAGGGTAACAACTTTGGTCGGCCCTCACGGCCCTTCACTTCATCAAAGCTGGCTCTCTTTGAAAAAAGTTTGGACACCACTGCCTATGCTCAGAAGTGGAAAGAGAAAGACGTTCCCCCTAAAGAAGAATTAATAAGTAAAGTAATGGACTTTACTTGAATCAGCAAAGCTAACAGCTAAAATAAGATAATTTAATGATGACTGGGGTGTTTTTTGTTTTTTGTTTTTTTGCTTTTTTAAAGAATGGAAGTCGTTTTCAGATTATTTGAGGAATTATTAAAATGTGAAGAATCTGTAACCATGTTTCGAACTATGAGCAATGGAAAAAAATCAAGATTATTGTGTTATGATTATGATAAAAAAAGAGTAAAGATAGGATGAAGCAAAGTGGGGGGGGATTGAGAAAAAGGGGGAAAAGGGGTTGGGAAATAGAAAATAGAATTTTTTTAAAAAAATAATATGTATCAGAATTTTATGTGTAATATTTGGAAAACTTACTGAAAGTGGTGGAGTGTCTTCTGTGTTTCTCTCTCCTTCCACCCCCAACATCTCCCCCCTTCTTCTCTACCTCCCCCCCCCAGCAACCCTTCTTTTGTTTAACAGTCACCCAGCTTTGTAGGGAATGGAGAATGTTGCAGGAAAGGACCATGTCTGCATGTGTGTCTTGCGCTGTGTGTTTCTCACTTCCCTTCCCTGCAATAACAAAAGATTTCTGCTTCTGATCTGTATCTTGTTTTGCCCTCCGCACCCCCCATGCAAACACTAATTTTGTGAAAGGTTTGGTCCAGTGGCATTGCTTGTGTTCCTGTCAGCACGTGCACTTTCACTTACCTGAATGCCAAAAACTGCACCGGAACAGGGTGGGGTGGGTGCGGAACGGGGGAAATCCCCACTGACACACATCCTGCAATGGAACCCCAGGCGAGCCACATAAAGAATGTGGTTACTCAAGGGCACCTACTCAAAAAGGTTGAAAACCACTGGTTTAGACAATACTGAGCTAATGGACGAATGGTCTGACTCAGTAGAAGGCAGCTCCATATGTTCATCAGGAGCACCTATAGCTCATCAGTAGAACCGATGACCAGAATGCCGCAGGTGCAATCTCCAGCATTTCTAGGGAGCGTTGAGAGAGGCACCTACATGAGAACCTAGGGACTTGCTGCCAGTCTGTGTAGACCAGGTACAGGAGACCTTTGACACTCCAGATGTTGCTGAATTGCAACTCCCACCATCACCATCTGTGGACATTGGCCATGGTTGCTGGGGCTGATGGGAGTTGTGATTCATCCACATCTGGAGGGCTGAAAGTTCCTCACACCTAGTGCGGACAATAATGAGATAAAGGGGGCATTGGCTTAACTTGCTGTAAGGCAGCTTCCTTTGTTCCCAGCCATCTCCTGCTGTCATTGAGCTCTGTGCCCCCTTTGGCTCCTTGCCCAAGTGGGAGAGCTTTCCCCTGTGCTACAGGTGAACAGTGATGCTTACGAAAGCAGCCTTGTCTCCAGTAGTAGCCGGGCAGACAGTCATCACACTTCGGCCCGGTGACACCTTCTTTGCAGTCACAGTAGCCGGTCTCGTTGCAGCGGTTGGCCACTGAGCCTATACGGTTGCAGTTACAATCTGTCAAAGCCAAAACAGTGCAGAAAGAACAAAACAGGACAAAAAGAAAAGCTGTGTCAGCGTAGATCGGGGTTGTTCAGGAACCACATGAAATTCCTGCTTAATGTCTGGTTCCTTTTCCAAATAACGATTTTATTTTTCACTCCGTAAGTCGCACCTGACCATAAGAGGCACCTAGTTTTTAGAGGAGGAAAGGGGGAAAGCCCTGTTTTTTGGGGGGATCACTCACAGTTGTGCAGCTTCTTTTGCAAAGGGGGAAAGCCCCCTTTTTTGAGGATCAGCTCAAAGTTGTTGAGCTTACTTTGCAAAGGGGAAAAAAATCCTGTTTTTATGGGGTTCAACTCACAGTTCTGCAGCTTCTTTAGGAAAGGAAAAGGAGCCATTTCTACAGTTTCCAGATGATAATCTAATCAGCCAGTCACATGTCACTGGGGAAACAAACAGTCTCCATCTGCAGAACATTCAACAATGGAGGCCTGGGCAAGGGGGCGGGGCTGGAAAGGGAGCCAGCTATTGACCACATTCACTCCATAAGACACACAGACATTTCCCCTTACTTTTTAGGAGGAAAAAAGTGTGTCTTATGGAGTGAAAAATATGGTAATTATAATAATAATGTTATTATTTGTACCCCATCTGTCTTACTGGGTTGCCACAAACACTCTGGGTGGTTTCCAACAGATATATGAACATAATAAAACATCGAACATTAAAAACTTCACTGTAGAGGGCTGCCTTCAGATGTCTTCTAAAACTTGTAGAGTTATTTATCTCCTTGGCATTTGACAGGAGAGCATTCCACAGGGTGCGCACGACTCCTGAGAAGGCCCTCTTCCTGGTTCCCTGTAGCTTTGCTTCTCACAGTGAGGGAACTGCCAGAAGGCCTTCGGAGGTGGACCTCAGTGTCCGGGCTGAACAATGGGGGTGGAGACGCTCCTTCAGGTATACTGGGCAGAAGCCATGTAGGGCTTTAAAGATCAGCACCAATACTTGGAATTGTGCTCAGAAACATACTGGAAGCCAGTGTAGATCCTTTAGGATCGGTGTTATATGGTCCTGGCAGTCACTTCCAGTCACCAGTCTAGCTATTGCATACTGGATTTGTTGTAGTTTCCGAGTCACCTTCAAAGGTAGCCCCACGTGGAGTGCATTGCAGCAACTGATCTTCAACATAAAGAGGGGACATCAGCAGTGGGGCTGGCCAGGTACGGCTTTGGGGCAGAGGTCCACACGCTGCAGAATGAGCAGGGGAAACCTCAAATTCAACAAGGATAGCTTACCACATTCTGAAGTAAGTGAAGTATATATTACCAGTTAAAGAGAGTCTGCCCTCCAGCTATGGGCAAAGAAAATGGGAGAAGAAGTGACCCTATGCTGGATTCATTTTGTAAACCACTGAGGTATGGAAGAAGAAGAAAAAGTGTATATGGTTTATTAAATAAAAACAATTAAAAATAACAATTCCTGATTTCCAGGTCAATGGGGAGGAATGAGCAGTCAAAAAGACTAGGTTTTTGTGAAGTCACAGCTATGATGATGATTTGTAGTAGTATTAATAATTACTATTATTTACTGAAATTGTATTTCAGCCTTTCTCCCAAACTAGCCCAGGGCAGCAAACACATAAACGATGGAACAATTAAAACACCTGAAAACAACTCCAATGCAGAGGCATTTCTTATTGAGATGTCAACATTTAGGCAAAAGCTAGGGATTTTGAGCTTGACCATTGCCAAAGTTTGGTTGGTTTTCATCTGCAGCTGTCAAGAAGCTGTTTCATTTTTATAGCAGGAGTTGTTCTCTAAGTATCAATGTTTGATTTGTTTTTAATCAGGGAAGCCACTTAACAAGATCCATGGGCAGAAAAGGGTAATAACAATAGTAAGTTGAGGGGGAGGCAGCACACACGCACAAACTCACTCAATTAGTTAGGCAGTCCATCACCACTTAAAGCCAGGATGAGGAACCTACGGGTCTATGGATGTTGCTGGGCAACAACTCCCATCATTTCTGACCAGAGCCTAAGGTGGCTGAGGTTGATGAGAATTGGAGTCCTGCAATACCTAGAGGGCAACAGGTGATCTACTCCTGCTTTAGGACAATTACAATCATAGAATTGTAGAACGAGAAGGAACCACGGGGCTCATCTAGTTCAACCCCCTGCAATGCAAGAATCTTTTGCCCAACATGGGGCTCAAACCTACAACCCTGAGATTAAGAGTCTCATGCTTTATGCTATACCAGGGGTCAGCAACCCGCGGCTCCGGAGCCGCATGTGGCTCTTTTACACCTTTGCCACGGCTCCGGGGCGGATACTAGCGAGGGGAGGAGGCGCACTGTGTGCCCCGACACTCCCCACTGCTTTAAATGTCACAATGGTTTTGCGGCTCCCAGTTTTTTCTTCTTCGGTCCAAGTGGCTCTTTTTGTCTTAAAGGTTGCAGACCCCTGTGCTATACCAACCAGCTTTAAACTAGGAATAGGAAACCCCAGACCTTTCAGATGTTTGGCTAGACTACCCAACCACCATCCCTGTTTTGCATGCTGGCTGATGGGAGTTGGGAGTCCATCAACATCTGGAGGACCCTGTCAGGGATGGGACCTTGTATTTAAGCAACATTTAGAAGGCCACAGGTTCCCTCATCTTTGGATAGCCACTGAGATAATAGGAAGGGTCTCTACCTGTAACACCAACACCAACAAGGAGGCTTCATGGCTTTTGAGCAAAACTGAGTACTACTCACCCACACATACATTCTCATCATCCAGCTCTGCGGAGCTATTGCGATAGTAGCCCAGCCGGCAGTGCTGGCAGTGCTGCCCCCTAGTGTTGTGTTTGCAGCTGATGCAGGTCACTAGGTTCAGGAAGTCAATGAAGCTGCAGCGATTAGAGTGACCGTAACATTCACAATCTGTGAAAGCAAAAGGAGCAGGAAAATAGGTGGGTGGGAAATCAAGCTTCATTCAATCAGGCTTACATTTCCACCTATCGCTGGCATAATATACAATGTCAGAGGGTGTTGCATTAAAAGGCACCTTGCAGGGAGAAGGACTGCATGCAAAGAGTGCTTCAGATACATGAAAAGGGGAATGCAACCAGCTGAGTTGATTGCTCAGCCGCCACTGTTTCGGGGTCCATTCTGGGGTCCAGTTCTTCACTCTTTGGGGCTATTCCTAGGGTGATAGAATTTCCTTGTTTGGTATCCTAGATCAGGGATGGGTGTGTGTGGCTTCTTTGGCTCTGCAGATGCTGTTGGACTCCAGATGCAATTGTCCCTGACTACTGGCTATACTGGCTGAGGTTGGTAGGAGTTGGGAGTCCAACAACATCTGGAGGGCACCAGATTTTTCATCCCTGATCTAGGAGAACTAGAAGGCCTTCATAGCTAGAATCTTTAAGTCTCTGGATCTGTTCACAGCATATATTGCAAATTATCTCCTGGGAAGAAAATAGTCCCCCTTACTAATACAGTAGTTATACCAGAGCAAATGTAAGTTTCTGCAGGGCCCCAGGAATCTATCTGGAGGCAAACCTCATTGCAGAAGCTCTTAGCTCCACACTGGGCTACTATGATCTTTTGCATCAGGAATGGGGAACATCTGTGGATCTCCAAATCTCACTAGCCTCCCAATGAGCATCAGTTCTAGCCAGTATGGACAATGGCTAAGGATGATGGGGGCTGGGAGTCCAGCAATATCTTGAGGGCCTGACATCTTGACCTTGCAAATTTTAAGATTGTAGGGTAAGCAGGGCAGGGCTGGAAGGATCATGCCCAGGCAAAGCAGCTGGGGTCACAATCCCTTCTCACAGTTTAGCAAGGATAGCTCATTCTGTGCACGTCCATCCCTTCAGAGGGAGAGCAGATGATGACATTCTAGACACACAAGGTAGGCATGCATCCTTTGGTTGAGACTTTTGGCGGGAGTCATTAGTTCAAGATTAAGGCTGCAAAGAATGGGGTGAAAGAAGCAGGAGAACGACAAAGGCACACAGACATGAAGAGGAAGCAGACAAGTGATGGACAGGCAAAGCACCAATGAGTTTCAAGAGGCAGAGCTTTCCCCCCTCCACACTATACAGCAAAGGAAGGAAAATAGAGCCTGAAGAAACCAGGCTGTTTCTCCCAGAGATGCCCCCACTGATATCACCAAGACTATGCCGGAACAAGTGGCACACCTGAAGGCAGCAGGCTAGCTGAGGGGAGTTGCATGACAAGTTTGTGGGGCACAGACATCTCTGGTCAGGGGCTCATGGGAAGCAGCTGCCATTTGCCTAACAGTAGGACCGGTCATCACTGTGTAATTCCAACTTACTTGCAACTTTTCAGAGTCATCCTGGGCTGCATCCGATGCTTGTCCTACTCAGAGTAGACCCAATGAGATCAACAAACAGGATGAACTTGGATCCATTAATTTCAGACAACACTCAATGCCAACCATTGAATTGCTCCCAGTTTCTCAACTTACCTTTAAATGTTTCAATGGGTGCCAGTGGGACGGAGCCAGATTTGAGCCGGATGAGTTTGGAAACCTTGGGAGATTCTTGGGAAGATGAAAAGACACCACTTTTTTTTTTTTGCCTCTCCCTATTTGACCCATACAGGTGACACCTTCTATGCTACAGAGAAGCAGGTTTAGCAGGACACAGACCAAGTTACAGCAATCACACCGACACACCACCACAATCCTGTCTCAGCACAGTAACAGGCAGATTTCGCCCCCTGCCACACAGTGACTACTTTTGCCATCCTCTTCTCCTGAAGTCTGACTCTTGAAAGTGCCATCACCTTACAGACCTCCTTCATGGGGCTCATCCATACATACACAGTGGTCAGGCCCAAAGCCAGACTGATTTTCCTACCTCCTTTTGTACAAGTGGAAAACAGCTTCCTTATGAACTACAATAGAGCTTCTTTACAATCCTCAGCACCCTTAACACTTCCAAAGATCCTTTGTGGGAAGTCACAACTGTTTAAAGTGATACAATACTCCTTTAATGGTAGAGTGCAGATGGGGTCCTATAGGCTGAAGATCATAAAGACATAGAGCCCCAGTAGATCAGAATAAGGTCTCTCTAATCCAGGCTTCCTCAACCTTGGCCCTCCAGATGTTTTTGGCCTACAACTCCCATGATCCCTAGCTAGCTGGACCAGTGGTCAGGGATGATGGGAATTGTAGTCTCAAAACATCTGGAGGGCCGAGGTTGAGGAAGCTTGCTGTAATCCAACACTCTGCTACCCTTGAGTGGCTAATCAAATGCTTCTGGGTAACCCACAAGCAGGGCATGGAGGCAACAGCCGTCACATGCAGTCTGCTCCAGAATTTGGTGCTCAGAGAGGGGTGGGTATACTGACATGGAACATAGAGGCTCCATTTAGCTACCCTGCCTAAAACCCTTGATAGCTCTGTCTCCTCTATGAATTTATCCTTTTAAAAAAGTGGCTTGATAAGCTGCATTAGACCTGCAATCATTCCTTTGCAACCCTAACTCTCCTTTCATTACCCTCCTGTTGCTTCCATGGTCCTCACTGAACAGCAAGCATTAAATTATATCATCTGTGGGTGGCCTAAATCAAAACAGGTGGCTTTTTAAAATCCTATTAAAGGTGTAAGTTAATGTAGCAATGCCAGGTTGTTTGGGTTCACAGCATAACTGTTTCATGAAAAGCTCCTGTGCTTATTTTACATACACCTAAGCGTCAAGGTGGTTGTCAGGGACTGGTTGTTGTTGGTGTTTTGCAATTCATTTTCCTATGACTTCACTGTTTTTCGTCACACCCACCCATGTGTGGAATGCTCCAGTCATCTGATACAGCAAACTCTCAAACAAAGTGGAAAATCTGTGGACTTCTAAATGTTGCTGGACTCCTCCTCCCACCATCTCTGATCACTGACCATGCTGACTGCAGGGACTGATGGGAGCTGAAGGGGAACATCAGGAGGGCCACAGCTTCTTCACCTTTGCTCTAGAGCCGTGGTTCACAAACTTTCCTCTCCCTCCCTTGCACCACTTTTGAAAATTGCTGAAAGTCTTGGCAGATCACTTCATGGTTTGTCTGCCAGTTGTAACAACGGTAAGGTGCTGTGCTAGATGCTGTAAGATTTTTAATTGTATTTTTTTTCCAGGCACACAACAACTGAATGAAACTTGTGGACCACTGCTCTAGAGTCTAGTCTAGGAAAAACTACACTGTAATAAAGTTGTTAAGTCTGAAAGGCGGCAAAAGCATCTTTTGCTGTTATTGCTGCAACAACCCAAGAGGTTGGAAACTGTCAACATGTTTACTTTAAACATGTTTGCCACACAAACTAAAATACATCTACCTACTCCTGCTGGAAAAGACTTTGTGCTGCCTTGAACCTTTCTAGACTCAGACTATGTAGGAATGAAAAGCATCATTAAAAGCACCAGGATTGCTGTTATTGTTATTATTCAGGACTGCAGCCCATGGGGGGGGGGTGCTTTACCTTTTCCTTTGTGGCAGCTAGACTGGTGACTGGGGGCGGCCGCCGAGACCATATAACACCGGTCTTGAAAGACCTACATTGGCTCCCAGTATGTTTCTGAGCACAGTTCAAAGTGTTGGTGTTGACCTTTAAAGCCCTAAACAGCCTCGGTCCAGTATATCTGAAGGAGCGTCTCCACCCCCATCGTTCTGCCCGGACACTGAGGTCCAACACTGAGGGCCTTCTGGCAGTTCCCTCGCAGCGAGAAGCCAAGTTACAAGGAACCTAGCAGAGGGCCTTCTTGGTAGTGGCACCCGCCCTGTGGAACACCCTCCCACCAGATGTCAAAGAAAAAAACAACTACCAGACTTTTAGAAGACATCTGAAGGCAGCCCTGTTTAGGGAAGCTTTTAATGTTTGACGGACTATTGCATTTTAATATTTTGCTGGAAGCCGCCCAGAGTGGCTGGGGAAACCCAGCCAGATGGCCGGGGTATAAATAATAAATTATTATTATTAATTATTATTATTGTTGTTGTTATTTCCACCCCAGCTATGATCCTATGATGGAAACTGCTATGCACATGAATGAGATTCTTCCCCACCTCCTATCAAGGCTTAATGTAGCAGTGGGTGGCTGTGGGAAGAGATTTCCTTCAGGACACAGCTGGGGAGGAAAGGATTAAAGCTGAGTAAAGTTGTCACTCACAGGGTGTAGTAGTAAATTTAAAGTCTCCCTAAGAAACGGGAATTCCTGTTTAGTTTCTCTTTCAATTATTTCAAGGGAAGCACATGCTTAGGCCTACTTTTCAACGCA